TATATATATATATATACACACACACATGTATATAAAGAGTTTTATAGTTCTAGCTCATATATTTAGGTCCATTAAGAGTTAATTTTATTTATGATGCGAGGTAGAGGTCTAGCTTCGTTCTTCTGCTTGTGTGTGTCCAGTAGTCCCAGCACTATTTGTTTCAGTAAACGTCACAAAACAGAATGCATATGGATTGTTGAATGGAAAACCAATTTGCTCTCTACACTTTCACCCAAATCACAATTTATTAAAAAAAAAAAAAAAAAAGGCTTTGTGGCAGAATTAAGCTCTTGGTTGCCAACCAAAAGGTTTGTGGTTAGAACCCACCCAGAAGCTCCACAGCAGAATGACCTAGAGATCTGCTTCCATAAAATTATAGCCAAGAAACCGTATGGAGTGTTTCTACTTTTGTTACATTGGGTTGCCATGAGTCAGAATCCACTCAATGGCAACCAAGAATAACATGGTTGATATTATTAGAACATAAGTGTACATTCCACCCACTTAATGGCAGTATGTTCTTGTACAAATACTTTAACATGACAGGACCTCATAGTGAAGGAAAAATAACTATTTCTTAAATAACTCCCTCATAGGAAGAACTGAGACCATGCACATGATAACATCAATGCAATGCAAATACTAATTCTCATGAACACACACTTCAGTGTTTTTCACTTGTCATAGCACTTAATTTTCAATTAATCTCTCAGACCTGTTTGGATTAGTAGGTTAGGGATATCACTGGCTGTCTCCAAGCAACTCCTCACCTCCTTTACCTGCTGTTTATCCTCCAGGGAGGTGGAGATGACAGAGCAGTCTGAAAGCAGGTCCTTACGTATCACAGATCCCAAGTCTGCAGCTGTGGACTCAAACATGGGGGAGACTGCGACCTCCTCATCCGACAGCAAGCCGGCTGGCGGAGAAAGGATCCCTTGAGACATGACAGCAAGGGCAGTTTAAGTCTAAAAAAAAACAAGAGCGGATAGGGAGGAGAACCTAGGGACAGAAGGGTTCTGAAAATTTGTGATACAATCCCCTTGCCTCGGGACACCTGGTCCGAACGCCTGAATTCCTACTGCCTTTTCCTTCCAAAGGAGCTCTGGTGGCGAAGTGGGTAAGGCATTTGCCTGCCAACCGGGTCGGTAGTCAAACCTACCAGCTGCTCCCGGGAAACCCAATAGGGGTCACTATGAGTCGGAATCGACTCGATGACACTGGATGGGTTTTCCTTCCAAAGTCTGGCAGCAGGGAGAGGTAATACCTTAACCCAGCCTGAGGCGGCATTTCCTACCTCGAACAGAAAAGAACTGAGAGATAGCAGGCTCTAAAAGCAGAAAGCCATGCTCCAAGTACTGGCTTTGCCCTCCGGTGCTGAGGGTTGGGCTTCCAAGACTGCTTCTCCAAACTCGCCCCAAGCCCCGTGGTAAATGCAGAAGTGTTTAAAAACAAAAAACAAAACAAACAAAAAAAACCACAGCAGCAGCTCCGCTTTCTGAAAGCCCTTTTCGGGAGGGCAAGAGCTGGTAACCTGGGCTCCAGCGCGGTCCCACACTCACCCGAAAGCCGAGACACTCGCTCCCCCTCGGGTACCGGCTCACTCACAGTGGTCGAATCTGGACCAGCACCCTTCAGGATCACAACCCCGCCCACGAGCGCAGCTTTGTTACTGATACAATGTTTTAAATTACGCGCTGTGTTCGTTCGGCCAATCAGATAGTGAAGTCTGCCGCTACCAATCAGCGCAAGGAAAATTTAGGAGACCGTTTGCTTCCGCTTGACCTCTCTTCGCCTATGAGCGTCCGGGTTACCAACTGCCGCGAATTTGGAGATGGGTCAACTGGGATTCGTCTGGCTTGATTCTTTTTCTTAAGCCTTAGACATTTCTTTCTGAAAAGCCGAAAGGAAATCCTGAGACGTCAGCCACCATTTCCTGCCCTTCCTTAACAACACTTCTTCCGAGGAGCGCACAAGGGAATTGGTTTAATATGCTTGCTTCGTCCTGGAGCAAATAACTACATTTCCCAGGAGCCACAGCAAACAAACGCCCATACTCTATTTCCCAAGAGTTTCCTAAGGTTCGACTTACTCCACTCTCTCGTCCGGGCTTGGAGACTTCGAGGCCAAGATGGCGGCAGGAACGGGCAGTGAGTGTCTGTGCTTATTTTGCGTGGAAGGCCTTAGTAGAGCCAAAGCTAGGCACCAGATTTATGTCTCACACTTACAGAGAGTAGGAAGAGTCGTTTACTGAGAGCCCAGAGTTTTAAGAGACCTACGCTGTACGACGTCGCGCAGGCAAATGATTGGAGGCCCAGAAGTGTAGGGTTTTGGGTCTGGTAGGGAGCGTGTGAAGGAAGCTGCTCAAGGAATGTATGTTGGGAGCTCCATGGGAGAAGGGATAAAAAGGCTCTCTAGAAACTTGGGCGTACATACAAAGAGAGCCATACGAAGCGGCTCGCATCTCAAAAAGTCATTCATTATTTGACAAACATTTGTCAGCTCTGGAAATGGAGTCGTAACCGTGAGCATTTTTCTGCCTCTAGGGAATTGCGTTTCGTACATCTCAACCATTTCCCTTTGTTTTGTGGATATAAAAGGTCTTTTAGTTCCCAAAATTAAGGGTGTGTGTGGGAGACTGAGAAGTAAACAAGCTTATGCTAAGAAGGAGGCGGGGCAGCAGGAGGGGTAGCCCTTCCGAATCTTGGAAGATAAACCCTTGTTTTCAAATTGGAAGGAAATATGAATAAAATAACGCCCTTCGGGAGAAATGCTTAATAGATATTAATGTCTTAATCTGACATTTTCTATTTTTTAATAAAGTGGAGCTTGAAGCCGTGGCATTTGAGGAAGTAAAATGTTCTACTACAAAAAAAAATCCATTGCCATTGAGTTGATTCCTACTTATAGTGAGCTTTCCCACCTTTCAGCAGCCAAGCACTTGAATCACTGCGCCACTGGGGCTCTTTCTACCTTATATTCAATACAAGTCCCATGCAATGAAAATAAGTGCTACTACGTAGTGGTGCCACTCCTCGGAAGGAAGGTTGGGCAATCCTACTTCCGTAGTGATACTGCCTCGGAAACCGAAGGAGGGGTCGCTATGAGTCGGGCCGACTTGACGGCACATAACAACAACAACAACGTAGTGGTGATGTTTCACTCACTGGAGAGGTGGTTAGCAAGATTTGGTGATACTGCTATATGACATTGTAGAACAGAGTAGTCTTTAGGAAGCAGATTGCTACATCTTTGTCCTGTGGAGCAGCTCTGGTGGGTTCAAACTGTCAAGCTCTTAACCACTGCTCGGTAACAGCCCATTTTGTCCTAACAAATTGTGATGTTTTGTATTAGGACTTTAATTTCACTCTTAAAACTAGCGTCTCTGTGGTTGTCTCTAAACTTTCTCTCCTTTCAGAACACAAGCTGCTGAGTACTGGCCCCACAGAGCCATGGTCCATACGTGAGAAGCTGTGTTTGGCATCTTCTGTTATGAGGAGTGGAGATCAAAACTGGTAAGGTATCTAGGATGTGTGTTTTCTTTGGTCTTAGAAACTATAGGGTATTTTCATGCTAGTGGATTGATAGAGTTAATCATATTAGTCTTTAGGCAGTATTTCTCCATTTTAAAAAACAATTTTATTGTAAAAAAAAAAAGTATGTAGCTCAATGATTTTTAGTATAATCACAGAATTGTACAACTGTCTCCAGTCTAATTTTAGAGCATTTTCATTACCTGGAGAAAGAAACCCTTTACCAGTCACTCCACATTCCCCCCTTCACCCCACCCTCACAGCCCTGGACAACCACTGATCTATTTACTGTCTCGATAGATTTGCTTTTTCGTATAAGTAGAATTGTGTATATGTGATCTACTGTGACTGCCTCTTTTTGCTTAGCATAATCCTTTCAAGGTTTATCCTTACTGTAGGATGTGCTTTATTCCTTTTTACAGCTATAGAATATTCCATTGCATGGATATACCACATTTTGTTAATCCATTTGTCAGTTGAAAGACATTTGGGTTGTTTTCAGCTTTGGTTATTTTGAACAATGATGCTATGAACATTCTGTGCAAGTTTTTGTGCAGATAAAATGTTTTCAATTGACTATATACCTAAAACTATAATAGTTGGGTCTATGGTAACTGTATGCTTAACTTTTTAGGCAACTACCAAATTACTTTCCCAATGCTATTTTACATTCTTATCAGCAATATATGAGGCTTCCATTTTCATCACATCCTCACCAACAGTTGTTAATTGTCTTTTTTATTAATAGCTAGCCTGAAGGATAAAAAATGCTATCTCATTATGATTTTGATTTGCTTTTGTATGATTACTAATGATGTTGAATAAGAGCTATGGTGGCACAGTGGTTAAAGCATTTAGCTGCTAACCAAAAGGCTGTTCAACTGTCCCAGAAACATTTGTTGAAAAGACTCCTTTCCTTATTGAATTGTCTTGGCCAATAGTATACCACTTCTCATTTATTGACATGATTAAGTTCCAGAGAACAGGTTGTTATGCAAAAATTGGTGATATGTGAAAATGGAGTATGACCACATCATTATATAACTGCCAAAACACTGAGAATCATGACCCAGGCAAGTTGATACATAAACCTTAACCATCACAGCCATTGGTACTCTTGCCTCATGCTTCAGCATTCATTACTGTCAGATTTATGTGGTTAATTCACAAACTGGTTGGTAGATTTTTTTTGCTATTATTAATAAATGCAAAATGTTTGATAACAAGATAGTTGATAAGTGAGGAGTTGGTATAGTTCTTTTTAACTACCAGAAAATAGAACTGTGCTTTTCAGTCATTTTTTTAATCAGCGGGGGACACTTTTTTTTTTCTTTGCCCCTGACCGTTTATCTTTTTCCTTCTTCATGTTTTTTCTAATGATCTAAAGATACCTTTATAATCACTTAATATGCAAATTTGTGTTTATTTTGTACATCTCTACTATTTTAACCATTCAAATGGTTTAACCATTAAAAGCAACATTATTAGTTACACTTATGATTTCTACAGCTATATTTTTATAGTATTTATATAATGTTATATAATAATAATGTATTTGTATGTGTTCTGAAAACTTTTCAAAGATGATCCTGCATTCAAATAATCAAATCTAGTTCAGTTAATAATTCAAAGGCTAGGCTTCACAGTTATTTAACTTCTTTCTATGTCTTACCACTCCAAGATCACTCATATAAAATTGGAGAAATACTAGACTTCTTACTTGAAATTATACATAAATCTCTTTGAAATGCCTTTAGTGAATGCGTGAATAGCCAACATAAGGCTAATTTCCAAAATGTGAAGATAATTCATATCCCCACTTTCCCACTTCATTATTCTGACCCTAAGCACCCTGAGTTGGGTCTCTGCAAATTAAAGCTCTGTCCTTCCAGTCCCTGCCAAATAGACAATTGTCACCCTTTCTGCTGGCTCTTACTTGGGTTTGATAATTCGCTAGAATGACTCGCAGAACTCGTAGAAACTATTACCTCTACTTGTAGTTACCCATTTATTTTAATCAGAAAGTATACTAGTGTAGAGACATATCAGGCAAGGTCTGGTAGAGATCCCACAACATTCTCCATGTATGTTCTCACCAGTTCTGGAAACCCAAATCACCAGTTCTGGAAACCCAAAAAGAGAAGTCCAAGATTCAGGATTTTTTAGTCACTGGGACTCAATGAATATGCATAGTTATGATCAGTCCAGTCATGAATGTGCATGACTACATCATGGTCTCCCTCCTTTCCTGACGCTTGTTGCCGGGATGAAACCTGTGTAACCCCTTACTTATTTTACCCTTTTTTTTTAAGTTTGGCCTGGCGACAACAGTGCTTAAACACTACTACTAACCGAAACATCAGCAGTTTGAACCCCCACCAGTCACTCTGCAGAAGAAAGATGTGACAGTCTGCTTAAGACTTTAATTACAGAAAATTGTAAATAGGTTGGCCAGACTAATGAAAAACAAGATGAGCTTTTGTTTTTTAACTTTTTATTTTGATTTGAGTGAAAATTTACAGAGCAACTTCATTTTCCGTTCAACAGTTGCAAAAAGGGCACGATGTGGGGGACATCCTTTTCTAACCTCCTCTAACTTAACAAGGGAGAGAGAGAAAATCACCATCAGCAGCCCAAGGTTTATTCTTAAGAGGCCAAACATGCCACCACCCTCTAGCCTTTTTTACCAATTTTTATCAACCATCCCTTCCATGGTATTCTATTTCTCTGCTGAGTTCGATAATTCACTGCAATGGCCACGTAGAACTCACAGACAGTACTGGGGTGTATTTGGGAAGTAACAGGTTACAATTTAGGTTCAGGAATGCTTTCAGGATACATTTCTTTGATCAAGGCAGTCTCCCCTTTGCTATGCCCTCAAGCATGCCTCTCTGGCCCTTGGCCTCTCAGCCTGGCCCCTGCCTTGTTCAGGCACATGTTACAAAGCTCTTTTAACTGCTGATAGGTCCACCTAGATGCACCCCATACCACCAGCAAGCCTCCTGCCCAAAGGCACTTGGTTTTTTTGCTCTGTGGGCCAGCAAACCCATTGCTCTGTCTCATGTCTCTTGGTTCCTCAGCCAGTCATCTCTGCCAAGGAGATCTGGTACAGGGATCTCAGGTCCAAGGATTTACTCTATTCCACCTCCAGCTCTTCTCTCTTGAGGGCTCATAGCAACCATCGTTGGGTTTTTGAGGCACTAAGTCTTTATGAAAGTAGATCTCTTGATCTTTCTTCTGGAGAACAGCTGGTGGGTTTGAACTGCCAGCAAAACTCATCCCCACGTTAGGGTTCCATACACGTTATTTGCATGGTCCCACCCCCAGAAGGGTGCCATATACCTTATTTACATTACTTACAGGCTATCCAGTTCCCTTGGTGGGCCACAAGCACCTTATATTTGCATAGTTCCTCCCAGTAATTTGTGGGAGTCACAAAAACCATGGCTAAAAGAACCATACCAAGTAATTCATTGCACCACAACAGTTAATACACATTTTGTTTTGTGGCAATAATCACAATCCCCACAATGCAAGAGCTCTTCCCACTTCCTCCCTGTGGTTACTTTTTCTTTGTGTTGTATCTGATGTAACTGTTCATTTCTCAGGCATATCTGTTGTTTGTGTGGAGGTAGCCACAGGAAAAAGTACAATTCCAGGCCTGAAGATTAGGGGCCATGGTCTCAGAGGTTTCACCAGTCTCTATCAGACCAGTAAGCCTGGTCTTTTTTATGATTTTGAGTTTTGTTCCACATTTTCCTCCCACTCTGTCTGGGATCTCCAATTTTGATCCCTTTCTGGGTGGTTGGCAGTAATAGCTGGGTACCCTCTAGTTCTAGTCTCAGGGTGAAGTTCCCATGGTCTGATATTCCCTTGGACTGATTGTTTCCATGTATCTTTGATTTTCTTCACTATTCTTTGTTCCAGATCAAGAGAAACCAATAGTTGTATCTCATAAATTTTTAAGACCCTAGTCTCTACTCGGGAGCTCTGGAGCATAGTGACTAAGACACTTGCCTGCTAACCAGACGGCTGGCGGTTCAAACCCACCAGCCACTCCTCGGAAGGAAGGTTGGGCAATCCTACTTCCGTAGTGATACTGCCTCGGAAACCCAAGGAGGGGTCGCTGTGAGTCAGGGCTGACTCGATGGCACGTAACAACAACAGTCTCTACTCAGGAACTCTGGTGGCATAGTGCCTAAGATATGTGACTGCTAACTAGAAGGCTGGTGTTTCAAACCCACCAGCCACTCCTCGGAAGGAAGGTTGGGCAATCCTACTTCCGTAGTGATACTGCCTCGGAAACCCAAGGAGGGGTCGCTGTGAGTCAGGGCTGACTCGATGGCACGTAACAACAACAGTCTCTACTCAGGAACTCTGGTGGCATAGTGCCTAAGATATGTGACTGCTAACTAGAAGGCTGGTGTTTCAAACCCACCAGCCACTCCTCAGAAGGAAGGTTGAGCAATCTACCCCATAGAGATACTGCCTCGGAAACCCAAGTAGGGGTTGCTATGAGTCGGATCAAACTCGACGGCAGTGAATTGTTTTTTTCTGTTTGTTTGTTTAGTCTCTGCTCACCAGAGTAGGATGTAGTAGGACAATGTTTTTGTGTAGAATGTTATGCCAGTGGAGCTTGATGTCCCCCATGACCATGGTCTAGAGCCTTCAAGCCCAGCAACTCACTCAAGAAGTGAACATTTCAGTCTTTATTCAGTGGATATACTTTAACCCTTGCCTTTGCTCAGTCTAAGGTACTTTTGACTAATGAACATAGATTTAAACCAGAGCCTAGTCTTTCTCTATTAGGAAAGATTATGAAGTAGAATTCCTCAATGTTTAAGTATATTTATGTAGCCTAATTAATAGATGGGATCTCTGGTGGTATAGTGCCTAAGGCTTTTGACTGCTAACCAGAAGGCCGGCGGTTCAAAGCCACCAGCCAGTCCTCGGAAGGTTGGGCAATCTACTTCCGTATACTGCCTTGGAAACTGAAGGAGGGGTTGCTATGAGTTGGTTCTGACTCAACAGCAGTGAGTTTGGTGTTTTTTTTTTTTTTGGAATTAATAGATAGACAAAAATACTTTTTCAGTTGTAAGTTGTGAGCTTCTAAAGTAACCCAATTTGTACGAAATTCCAGGATATTTAAAAAAACAAAAAAGGCACTTAATTGAACAACTAGAATTATTGGAAAAAAAAAAAAGCATGGTCTTAACTAATTTAACCATAAGCCAGTCCAAACTCTGATATGGTCCAGTTACATGGATATAGTCATGGAATATAAACCCCCCAAAAAAGCTGAGAGACAAAAGTAAGGCAAGTAATTGCTCCTCCTTTATTTAATTTTTGCATTATGCTTTCAGGTATGCCTTTCTCAATTCTAGCAAAAATTATTTTCGACTAAAAATGTATTTCTTGGGGATTTTTGAAGTGCCTTGGCAGCATGCATTTCCCCAAGAGATGCTTTTGGTCTTTTTGATGCCTAGATAACAAGGGAACCCTAGGCTAGGCCTGCTTTTTGCCCAGCTGGTCCATGCAAAGTAGGTCTAATTGCATGTAGTTGCTCTGAGCAACTATGTGGTACTGGACTGAGTTCAGAATTGTTATCATCTTCTTTTTTTCTGCATCAGCCCTTTTTTTTTTCATCATCAAATTTGAATTTGTTCTTTTGCCACACTTGCTAACATAATTCCACACTCTGTTGATTGTCCTGCTTTCTAAAATGTTTTTTAAATTTACTTTTTGACGTAGTACATAGCCACTGTAAAAACATAAACACAAGAAACAGCAGTAAGAACAAAAAAGGTCAAAAACTTGAATTTATTTCTCTCAACACATATAGGAAGTTTAGAGATAGGCAGTCCAGAGTTGGCATAGCAACTTCATGGTGATGTCAAGGAACCAGGGCCCTATCATTCTTTTCTACCTTCCTCATCACATGACTTCTATTCTGAAGGTTACTTGATGGTCCTGTTGAAATATTATCATGTATTAATTCAAAAGTAGTACATAGTATTTGATTTCTCAATGATTTAACAATTTGCAAATTGGAGAAATACTGCCTCATGCAAGAGGAAGCTGCTTCTAGAGAATGGAGAATTCACAGAGACTTAAATGCAGGTAACTTTTGCTTAAAGAATACAAGTTTCCAAGTGATGAAGTATTTAATGGCTACTGAGTTAACATTATAAAGTAACTTCACAGGAAATTTGTTCCTCCACCCACCAGTAGTCCTGAGCCCTCCAGAAATTCAAAACACAGCAATGACTGTGAAGATGCGGCACAGGATCAGACTGTGTTTTGTTCTTTTATGCATAGAGTCGCTGTGAGTTGGAACTAACTCTGTGGCATCTGACAACATGTCTTTCCTGTTTAATCACAGCTTAATGGTTTTGTTATAGTCTGCTCTTTGGAACACTTTGGGTGAGAGAGTTTTTTTTTTTTTTTTTTAAATTGATGGATTAGTTTTAGGTAAGGAATTTTTAAGTTTCTGGATGAGAAAAGCCCTCTTGAAGTAAAAGTTAAACATTACAGGTATGCGTCACTTAACATCCACTGTACATTCTTTGAAATTGGATGTTAGGTGATTTGGATGTTGTGTCAACACCATGTTAAAACCTCATGAGAGCCTGTTTCCAGTTGTCTTCCTCACAGCTGCCACTCTGCCAAAGACTGGCTGAGGGGATGAAGAAGGGAGAAGAGGGAGAGGAAGCAAGCCCAGCTGTCTCACTGTTCTGCCCATCTGAGCAGCAGGAAAAGCCCAGCCCCACCCCCATAGCTGTTGCCCACCTGCCCACCCACCACCAAAGCCAGAGAGCCATGGCCACAGCCATGTCCTCTGCCTCACCTGCCAGTATTCCACTCCTGCTCTAGTGCTGCAACAGTCTGGGTTTGGGGTCTTTAAAACCATTAGTGGGAAACAGTAAACAAAAGGAGAGCTGCTTTCCCTTTTTATTTAAAAAAGAAACAAACCTTATAGTAACATGGATTTACATGCATATATGCCTTCATTTCCCAAATGAACTTTCAGTGTTGCATGCCTGTTGTTTTTAAATTTGATTCCACAATCCACAATGGATGCTTGAGCTTTAGCTGTCACATCCTTGTTCCATATAGTAAGAAGAAGGAAGAGGTTGGTAAGTGAGATCACACCCCTTACCTTTTTTTTTTTTTTTTAATTGTGATTTGGGTGAAAGTTTACAGAGCAAATTCACTTTCCATACAGCAATTCACATACACTGTGTCTCATGACATTGACTACAATTTACCCCAATGCAACAGCTCCCCTCCCACTTCCTCCCGATAGTTATCTCTTCCCTGTGTCCGTCCCTCCATGCACTTCTGCCCCCTGAGCTATGTCCCTGTGCATACACAGCCCTTCTATTCTCCCATAATTGTTCTCTCCAGGGAGTTTATCTACCTAATGTAAATGTTCACCTCATATGCCTGTCTTTTGTTTGGCTCAATTCCAGGCCTGAAAGGCAGCTAAGGGTCCATAATCTCAGTGGTTCCATCAGGCTCTATCAGACCAGCAAACTTTCTCTCTTTTTCTTAATAGTTTTATTGTGATATGGTTGATGTGCAATAAGCTGTACACATTTAAAGTATAAATATGATTTCTGATATAGATGTATAACCATGAAACTATTTACAACCAAGATAATTATTACAATAACCCAAAAAAGGGCTCAAAACAAATTAAATGTTTCTTTTGGCATGCCAGGGTTCCTCATTCTACTTTAGAGGAGTCTAGATGGATCCTTTCTGATATTTTTGTATGCATAGCATGTGTATATAGGACCATCATTCATACATAGTTGTCAGCTTGCTTTTTTAAAAAATAATGGTAAAATATCTAACAAAAGTTGCCATTTTAACTATTTTTAAGTGTGCAAGTCAGAGACATTACTTACTTTTGATAATGTGCAACCATTACCACTATCTATGGCCAGACTCCAGACTTTTTCATCACCCTGAGCACAAACTCTGTACCCATTAAGCAGTAATTCCCAACTTCCCCTTTCGAGCCTAAAAAAAGAACAGCCAAACTCATTGCTGTTGAGTTGGGTGCAACTCATAGCGAACCCTCCTTGGGTTTCTGAGGCAGTATCGCTGCGGAAATAGATTGCTCAACCTTCTTTACGAGGAGTGTCTGGTGGCTTTGAACCACCAGCTTTCTGATTAGCAGTCAAATGCCTTAGGTACTATACTACCAGAGCTCCCAGAAATGATGATAAGCAGTATCCCTATGGAAGTAGATTCCCCAATCTTCCTTCCTTAGAAACCCAAGGAAGAGTCACTGTGAGTCGGATATGACTCAATGGCAGTGAATATATATATGTGTATATATATATATTTTAAACCTGTCTAGGAATTTCCCCCTACCCCCATCTCTATAACCAACAGTTTCCTTCCATGGATAAACCTTTCCTTGACTTTTACAAGAATGAACTAATACAGTATTTATCCTTCTGTGATTGACTTATTTCACTCAGCATAATGTCCTCCAACTTCATACACATTATGCAGTGTGTTGCAGATTCTACATTATTCTTTAGGGTTGCATAGTATTCCATTGTGTGTATGTACCACAGTTTGGTTATCGATTCCTCCGTTGATAGGCACTTAGGTTGTTTCCATCTCTTTGCTGTTGTGAGTCATGCTGCAGTGAATAGGTGTGCATTTATCTATTTGTGTCCTGCCTTTTGCTTCTTTAGGATATATACCTAGTAATGAGATTGCTGGGTCAAATGGTATTTCTGTTTCCTACTTTTAAGGAATTGCCATACTGTCAAGGCAGGCATTCTTTACTTTAAGTTAATCTATTTGTTTGGTGTAAAGAAGATTTGTGGGGAGATTTTTGGTTTAAGGATTAAAGATAATAACCATCCTAGTGAATGTGAAATGGTATGTCATTGTAGTTTATATTTGCACTTCTCTAATGGTTTTTGTGTGTTGATCTGTACCCTGAAACTTTGTTAGATTTGTTTATTAGGTCCAGTAACTTTCTTGTGTATTCTTTGATATTTGCTACTATGGAATCGTGTCATCTATTGAAAATGAAGTAAGCTGTGAGTTTTTTGTAAAAGTCCTTTATCATGTTGCAGAAGTTCCCTTCTGTTCTTAGTTTTTTAAGTATTTTTATTATGAAATACTTTGTTGAAGTATCTCTTTGTATTACAATTCCAGTGGGTTGAAAGATAGTGACTTTTTTGGGGTGGTTCTGGAATATATTACTTTCCACAAGTTGCTTTTCAAAAGATAGATCTTTTCTGAAAGAACCAAGCTAGAGCAAAATCAACATCCCAAATAAGCAGAAATTATCGTTTTAAGTAGTTGTGTAATTTTCCATATTCAGATATTCCAGAATACTTTTCAGCTACAGCTTTTTATTCTAAAATGTTTTTCATAACTTCCAGATCTTGATCTTTCAATATATCCCTTTCTGTTTTTCTTTCTGTTTAGTGTGTAATAAGGCTTTTCTCATTTTGTAGGGTATCAGTTAGCAGAGCAATCAAGCCCTTTGCAGAACCTGGCCGCCCTCCAGACTGGTTTTCTCAAAAAGTAAGTTCTAAAGCAAGTCCTTTATTCCAGCAGTGTTTGAGATGTGAAGTAGGTTTTCTTCTGAGCCCTGTCCTTTATTTTTAAAAAACTTTTTATCATAATTTGAGTAAAAGTTTACAAAGCAAATTCATTTTCCATATAGCAGTTCATATACATTTTGTTTCATGATATTGACTGCAATCCCCACACCGTAACAGCTCTCTTCCTGCTTCCTCCATGTAGTTACCTCTTTCCTGTATCCTCCTTTCCTGTGTATTTCTGCCCTCTGGGCTATCTCCCTGTGCAAATACTGCCCTTCTGTTCTTCCGTGATTGATCATTCTAAGGAGTAAATCTATTTGATGTAAATGTTTACCGTATATGCCTTTCTATTGTTTGGCTGGAAGCCACAGGAGTGAGTTCATTTCCAGACCTGAAGGGCAACTAGGGGCCATTGTCTCAGGGGTATCACCAGACTCTTACCAGACCACTCATCCTGGTCTTTTTTATGATTTTGAGTTTTTTTCCATAATAATCTCCTACTCTATCTAGGATCTCCTGTACTGATCCCTTTCCAAGTGATTAACAGTGGTAGCCAGGCACTATCCAGTTCTTCTGGTCTCGTGGTCATATAGGCTGAGGTTTCCATGGTCCCTTAGTCCCTTGGATTAATTGTTTCCATGCATCTTTGGTTTTCTTCATTCTTCTTTGCTCCAGATAAGGAGAGACCACTTGTCACATCTGGATGGGCACTTGCAAGCTTTTAAGACCCCAGTCGCTACTCACCAAAGTAGGATAGAGAACACTGTTTTGTGTATTATGTTATGACACTAGAGTTTGATGTCCCCCGTGACCATGGTCCCAAGCCCACAGATCCAACAACTTGCTCCATCAGGGTAGTTGACTTGTGGCTAAAAAGTTACTGTAACTTTGGCCCCTGTTAATTCTTTTTATGTGAACATTCTTGCAGCACATACAAATACATAGTAGAAATATCATGTACCAACCTTATATGTTGTTGTTGTTGTTGTTGTTGTTATGTGCCATCAAGTCAGCCCTGACTCACAGCGATCCCTGCTTGGGTTTCCAAGGCAGTATCACTACGGAAGTAGATTGCCCAACCTTCCTTCCGAGGAGTGGCTGGGGGGTTTGAACCACCAGCCTTCCCGTTAGCAGTCAGGTGCCTAAGGCACTATGCTACCAGAGCTCCCAACCTTATATAGTGTCATGGTTATATTCCTTTTGCCTAGACATACCTGATCATTCAGCCTGTCTACCCATATATTTACCCATTGATTAAAGTTTGTGATCACTGATAACGCCCTGCCCTTTAATCATAGTATATAGGCTTTTGTACCATGAAGAATGAAAATAGTTGAGAATAATTTTTCTGTTTCCCAACTGTTTGCTAATACATTCATATATGCTCATGTAACTTACTGTTCTTATATAGTTAAGAGCCCAGGCTTAAGAGTTAGTTAGGTCTGGATTCAGATGTGAAACCATCTCTTAAAAATTTGGACCACGAACCTGAGTTTTCCTGTTTGTTAAATAGAGGTAAGAGTTGCTTCAGAACTGTTGTAAAGATTTAATTAAAGTAATACATTGTAAAGCATTTAGTACAGTGCCTTGCGTATGATAATTACTTGGTAGGTATTAGCTATTATTATCAGCTATTAAGGCGTCTTCATACAAATACACATGCTGTAGGCCAGGTGACTATTTTTTGTGTGCTAGTACTTAATACAGATAGTCCCTGACTTATGACATGTTCAAGTTATGCGGAACTGCACTCATGACGTTCAGTGTTGTAGTGTCATATACTGATGTTATCAATAAAGGGCAATAGTGATGAAAACTGAAAAAAAAATAAAAGTTGGAGTGGAGCCCTGTCGGAAGTCAGGGGCTACCTGTATATTGAACTGATTTGATAGAAAACTAATTTGCCCTCTAGAAACCACTTACTTCTGATGTATAGCTTTTAGAACTGTAATCTACTCTGTTAAAACTTTGAAGAGCCGTTCTTTTCTAGGCTTGCTCATTACATTTTCACTTCTTTCCATAGCATTGTGCTTCCCAGTACTCAGAGCTGCTAGAGACTACGGAGACCCCCAAGTGAGTTCAAAGCCAGACACTTACCAAGTATTTACAGCCTTATCTGCTCTATTGAGAGTGTTATACTAAGAATGTTTGATTTATATCAGTGGGTGATAAAAGTATAGCAGAAGTAATCTATATTCAGATGGTACAGGAGGCTGTAAAAAAGCTAGTGAGAGTGAGAACAGATATTCTCTTATTCAAATGTGATATTTCTCCCCCTCACAGACGGAAACGAGGTGAAAAGGGGGAAGTGGTGGAAACTGTTGAAGATGTCATTGTTCGAAAACTGACTGCTGAACGAGTTGAGGAACTAAAGAAAGTGATAAAGGAAACCCAAGAAAAATATAGGTACTTACCAGAGAGAATGCCAAATGATTGGGAGAGAGAAAGGGAGATTTCTATTAGTGATCAGAATTTTCTAAATAACAGATTGAAAAATCAGTATTACCTCTCTTTCTTCCTGTAGACGGCTAAAAAGAGATGCAGAATTAATTCAAGCTGGACACATGGACAGCAGACTGGATGAGCTTTGCAATGACATTGCAATGTGGGTTATATTGTTCTTTTATCTGTGCTCTTTCCTCTTTTTTCCCCAGTTCCCTCACCAATCAAGTAATTGGTTTATTTCTTCCACCTGTCATGCCTTTAGACTGGAGACAGATTCTGGAAGGGAAAAGCTACTGAGTGGCCTGGTGGCTGGGGTGGGGGTGTAAGTCCTAGAAGATAATGCTATGAAACATTTCCATGTGAGAATGAAACTTAGTTCTAGTTTAAAGATGGCCCTAGTTTTCCCAGGTGAAGAACTGGGAATTAAGCAGTAGTACACTTATATTCCCTATTTTGCTGATAAGAATTAGCATTTAAAACTTTTCCTCAGAGAGTACTGGCTTGGGAGAACATTTCTCTGTGAGGGCACTGTGAATTGTGGAGGAGTTAGAGCTAGCATCTAACCCTTAATTTCCTCTTTAGGAAAAAGAAATTGGAGGAGGAAGAGGCTGAAGTGAAGAGGAAGGCTACAGATGCTGCATATCAGGGTAAGCTGAAACTAGGGTCTTTGTTTAGCAGTTGACTGTTTGATACTGCAAGGAGCTCTTATGGCATAGTGCCTAAGGATTTGACTGCTAACCAGAAGATTGGCAGTTCAAACCCACCAGCTACTCCATGGAAGCAAGACTGGGCAGTGTACTTCCATAGGATTTACTGCCTTGGAAACCCAAAGGGGAGGGGGTCACTATGAGTCAGAATCAACTTGATGGCAGTAAGTTTAAGTTTTTTTTTTAATATATATATATAGTACTGCACATTACTGACAGTTGAAGACTATTTTTGCAAGATAGAATTCACTAGTTTCAATTTATTTGCACACTTTCTGCCATCATATTCATTTCTACCAGAATAAAAACATCACTTAATGTCCAGGAAAATCTCTTAGAAAATGAGGTCTGTTCAGGTCTCACTAGACTTTGAATTGACTTAGGACACAAAGGCTTGATAATAAGACATCAAGCATAATTAAGGTTTTAGATACCAAAGCCTACAGAAAGATGGAGAATGGCTTACTCATTAGATAAGAATAGAAACTTAGGCATTTGCAACTCTGGGGATACATGCTCTGAGTCGGTGGTCTTTCCAACTAGTTAAAAGCAGAATCTTAAAAAGGATAATGAACGTTTTTTTTGTTTGATTGTTTTTTGTTTTGTTTTTAATTGTGATTTACGTGAGAGTTTACAGAGCAAATTCACTTTCCGTACAGCAGCTTACATACTCTTTGCCTCATGACATTGACTACGATTTACCACAATGCGACAGCTCCCCTCCTGCTTCCTCTCCATAGATACCTCTTCCCTGTGTCCTTCCCTCCATGCACTCCTGCCCCCTGAGCTGTCTCCCTGTGCATACACAGCCCTTCTATTCTCTCCAAGGAGTGTATCTACCTAATGTAAGTGTTCAACTCATGTGCCTGTCTCTTGTTTGGCTGGAAACCACAGGAGTGGGTTCAATTCCAGACCTGAAGGGCAGCTAGGGGTCATAGTCTCAGTGGTTCCATCAAGCTCTATCAGACCAGCAAACCTGGTCCCTTTTTTTAAAAAAAAATGATTTTGAGTTTTGTTTCACATTGTTCTCCCACTCTATCCAGGATCTCTTACATAGATCCCCTTCCAGGTGGTTAACAGTGGTAGCCGGGCACCATCTAGTTCTTCTGGTCTCAGTTATATAGGCTGAGGATCGCATGGTATAGCAGTCACTTGGACTAATTGTTTCCACATGTCTTTAATTTTCTTCATTCTTCTTTGCTCTGGACGAGGAGAGACCCATCATTACATCTAGATGGCCACTTGCATGCTTTAAAGATCCCAGTTGCCACTTGCCAAAGCAGGATGTGGAACAATGTTTTCTATAGTATGTTATGCCAATTAAGCTTGATGTTCCCTGCAACTGTGGTCTTGAGCCCACAGGTCTACTACTCACTCCCTCTGGGTAGCTGGCTGTGGCCAGAGAGTAACTATAACCTTGTCCCTTGACAGCTCTACTATATACCTGGGAATTCTTACAGAACATACACATACACTTGTAGAAACATTGTCTGCCAACCCTATACATGGTCTTGGGCACAATCCCCCCTGCATAGACATATCTAATAGTTCAGCCTGTCCACCCCTCTATCCACCCATATATCGATGTTTGCCTTCACTGACAACACAGCACTGTATGTGCAAAAGGGTTCATCTTTGTTGTCTGTACCTCGCATTACCTCTCTATGTCGTCTTCTTCCTCAGTGCCACCATGTTGATCACTCACATTTGGTACATTGCCCTTCTCTTCACCCAAAACAATACTTATCTCTACCTGTCCAACCTGGTAACCAACAAAGAAAATTTCCTTCCATATATAAACCTTTCCTGACTTTTTACAATGACAGACTAATACAGTATTTGTCCTTCTGTGATTAACTTATTTCACTCAGCATAATGTCGTCCAAGTTCGTCCATGTTATGTGGTGTTTTGCAGATCCTACGTTATTCTTTAGGGTTGCATAGTATTCCATTGTGTGTATGTACCACTATTGTAAGTAGTGCTGCGAAAACATGGGTGTGCATATCTGTTCTTGTCCTGGCTCTCACTTCTTTAGGATATATACCTAGTAATGGAATGACTAGGTCAGATGGTATTTCTAATTCCAACTTTTTAAGGAATCGCTGTACTGCTTTCCACAGTGGTTATATCATTTTACAGTCCCACCAGCAGTGTATGATAGTCCCAATCTCTCCGCAACCTCGCCAGCGTTTGTTATTTTCTGTCTTGTTGAACTTTGCTACTAGTGCTGGGACAAGATGGTGTCTATTGAGGGGTTTTTAAATCACTTTTCCATTGCAAGGACCTTTTAAATAGTTAAATAGTTAAAACAAGTTGCTTAGTGGTGGTATGAGAATAGCTTTTAGGTAACATTAGGCTAAAAGTTACCCATGTCCCAGAAGTGATAAAAGAAAGCTTTCTGATCCAAACTTATGATGTTGCTTTGGTAATGTGACATACCTGTTGTTGTTAGGTGCTGTTGAGTCGGCCCCAGCTCATAATGACCTTATGTACAACAGAACGAAACACTGCCTGGTCCTGTGTCAGCCTCACAATCCTTGCTATTCCCTACTTGTCCTTCATTGCATAACAGCAGAGTAGATTTTGTTTTATTTAATCCGACAATTTAGACATTGTTTTCTTTCCTGTTCTAGCTCGTCAAGCAGTAAAAACACCCCCTCGGAGGTTACCAACTGTGATGGTCCGATCTCCTATAGGTTCTGCCTCCCCAGGAGGTGATTATCCACTTGGGGACTTGACTTCAGCCACTATGGAAGAGGCCACCTCTGGTGTAAGTATATTTCTTTCCTTAGGAATTGACCAGCAAAGGAGCAATAAGCCAGCACAGAGCCAAGTGAGAGGCAAATTCCTCTCTTGGTCTGAATGCTAAAGTGTTATTACTTTACTATGTTCTGTGCTCTAAGATAAGAGTGGACCTAAAAGCATTGAAGCTTGTGACATTTAGAAAAATAAGGGACAATTTCCTTGTAAATACAGTATTGGTAGTGGATAAGGAATTTGTAAAAGGCAAATTGGGTGGAATGGTTGGGTCATTGTGGGTTTGAGTAGGTAGAAAAGAAAAGTTTTGGGGAAAGAAATATGTGATTGAGAGCAGGAAGGGTAGAGGGTTTGGGGACAGTTCCACTCAGGACTAATAAAGTAATAGTTAGCACTAACACATCCAGATTAGTAGGGAACCTTCCAGAGTTTAAGAAGTCAGATAAAGGTTCTCTGTTGTCTCTTAGGTAACCCCTGGGACTTTGCCGAGTACCCCAGTCACCTCGTTTCCTGGGATTCCTGACACCCTTCCTCCAGGCTCTGCACCCTTAGAAGCCCCCATGACCCCAGTAACAGATGATTCACCCCAGAAAAAGATGCTTGGACAGAAAGCAACTCCACCCCCCTCCCCTCTGCTGTCAGAGCTCTTGAAGAAGGGCAGCCTCCTGCCTACTAGCCCCAGACTGGTATGGAGACTTCTGTGGGTGTTTGAGAGCTGTGGTGATTTAGTCCTTGGAAGGGAGTGCCTGGTACCTAAAATATGACATGGGGGAAAAAATTTCAAAAGAGGAAAAAGTATCTTAGTTAAATGTTAATTAAAAAAAACACACACACTAAGTCTCCTTGGATCCTGAGGTATCTGAGCCACAATTATTTTGGTTATCTTCCCTAGAAACCTTGTCAAATAAGTTTTGAAGATGATAGTTTAGAATTTCCTTTGGGTCTGAAATTATTCTTTATGGATATTAACTTTTAGTTTTCATGAAGTTTGGTCAACTGCTCCAAGCTTTTTTAGGAAGTGGTAGTAATGGAAACCTCGAGTGTAGCCTTCATCTCTATTCTTCCCTGGTAGGTCAGTGAGAATGAAATGGCTGTGACTTCCGGCCACCTGAACAGTACAGGTGTCCTCCTGGAGGTAGGCGGGGTCCTTCCCGTGATACATGGTGGGGAGATACAGCAAACACCTAACACGGTTGCAGCCTCTCCTGCTGCCTCAGGTAAGTCACCACTTTTCTTTTATCTACTTTACTTTATTTCAGAGATGTTGAACTTAGCATTAACTATTCTGGGTTTCCTAGTGTTTGTTAGTAAGCAATTGTCAATTCTAGATTTAAAGCCCAACTTGGAGCTATACTTTACCTGTTATACCACTTAGTACTCTAAATTGAAATCCATTCCATACTCAAGTATTGGTAGCCCTACGTGACCACAATATAGATATTGATGAGAGGAATAATGAAGCTAATGGCTTTCCTGAGGCTTGTGAAATCACAGAAGGGTGTGAGGGATACCTGAGATAATAGAATAGGGGAACAAAAGATTTAGAACCAGAGAACTGGGCTTACTATCCATTGGATTTGTGACTTTGTGAATAGGTAACGTAACTCTCGAGCCTCAGTTTCCTCATTTATTAATTGCAAATGTTCAGTATATACTTCAAGAATATGGTAAGAATTAAATGAGGATGAAAATGCAAGGGGGTCTTTACAAAATAATAAAGTTGAGCTTTATTTGTACCAGGTGGGTTTTTGGTAGGTTTTTTTTTTTTTTTTTTTTTTTTTTTTTTTGGTCATTGTTTAATTTTCCTCTGAGAAAAAATTAAAACCCAGTTTCCATATATACATTATGTGCTCTAGTGTTTTACCTCATTCTTAACTTGGAGGAAGTAGTTTTTTAGTAAGGTTGGAGAAAGTAAGGAAACATATAATGATCTTATTCAACACAAGAGTTGCTTTCATCCTTTGAGACTATAAAAAAATTTCTTGGTTGAGTCTTAAACAAAGTGGCTATTACTTCTTGTTCATGTGCTTTCTTCTTACCTCATTTTGTGTACCTCTTTGTCTGTTAGGTGCTCCTACTCTTTCCCGGCTTTTAGAAGCTGGTCCTACACAGTTCACCACACCTCTTGCTTCCTTCACTACTGTTGCCAGTGAGCCTCCAGTTAAACTTGTGCCACCCCCTGTAGAGTCTGTGTCCCAGGCTACCATTGTCATGATGCCTGCGCTGCCAGCACCATCCTCTGCTCCAGCTGTCTCCACTCCTGAGAGTATAGCTCCAGGTGCGTCCCTGACCCACGCCCTGAGCAGCCACTAGGTCTAGATTCCATTTTTGAACTTCAGTCAGAGAAAAGTGACCAAGAGATCAGTTCTAGTTCAGATACTTCTGTTCTCCATAGACATATACCACTTTTATCCTTAGAAAAAACAAGGATGTTAGAAGAGGTGGGTGGTCATTTAAGCTTTGGGAGAAAATATAAATATGAAAGGCCTAAAGAATATGAGTCTTACCTTGCTTTCTAGATAAAACTGGGAAAAAGAAAACATAGGCAAGTATAGGATAACTTTCTGAGCCTAAATGTATGGGTACTTGAAATCTACCTGCAGCTTTGATGGGGATCTCCACAAGTAGTCACTTGGTACCTAGTAAGATTGTGAGATGCTTTTCTCTTCCTGTTATTAAGTGAGTCAGCCTGACACGTGTATTCCTATGGAAGCTGTGGGGGATCCACATACTGTGACTGTTTCCATGGATAGCAATGAGATCTCCATGATCATCAATTCTATCAAAGAAGAGTGTTTCCGATCAGGGGTAGCAGAGGCCCCTGGAGGATCAAAGGCTCCCAGCATTGATGGGAAGGAAGACTTAGATCTGGCTGAGAAGATGGATATTGCTGTGTCTTACACAGGAGAAGAGCTGGACTTTGAGACTGTTGGAGACATCATTGCCATCATTGAGGACAAGGTAACAATTGAGCAAAGCCAAAAGGCATTTCCCAAGGGTCCTACGTAGGCTTTTCTCCTTGCTTCTGGTAGTAAGAATTTCTTCTTTAAAAAACTATCCTGCTCATCTCCATCTTTATGTTCCCACTCTTTGCTACTAACACACTAGTCATCTCCCCCGCCATTCTGTGTTACTGGTTTGCATGAGACAGGTACTTGTCCTTTGGTTGCTTTTACCACATGAAGGTGGTAGAGAAGCTGCAGATTCAGGCCATCTCATTTGATGCTAACAGAATTGAGGGACTTGGGCTTCTGTAACTTTAACAATCTCTGTATTATGGGACAGGTAGATGATCATCCTGAAGTGCTGGATGTAGCAGCCGTGGAAGCAGCACTGTCATTCTGTGAAGAGAACGATGATCCCCAGTCCCTACCTGGACCCTGGGAGCACCCTATCCAACAGGAGCGGGACAAACCAGTACCTCTCCCTGCACCAGAGATGACGGTCAAGCAAGAGAGGCTGGACTTTGAGGAAACAGAAAATAAGGGAATCCATGAACTGGTCGACATCAGGGAGCCCAGTGTTGAGATCAAGGTGGAGCCTACAGAACCAGACCAAGGCATTTCAGGGGCTGAAATAGTAGCTGGAGTTGTTCCAGCCACAAGTATGGAGCCACCAGAACTTAGGAGTCAGGATTTAGACGAGGATCCTAGAAGTACTGCAACTGGAGAGATTGCCGAAGGAGATGTTTCCAGTGGGAAAGGCGATGAGACCTCACTTACAACAGTGAAGACAGAGGTATTAAGATCAAGGGCTGGAAAGATGAAGGGTTATACCTAGGTAACAAATGACAGTTTAGACTTTTGGTTTTCCTGTTACATTCCTGAGTTCTGACATGTTTGATGAGTCCAAAGCCCATAGATTGTGATCTGTGCTATACTTGTCCTGTTCCTATTAAAGTAACCATTAGAATCATATTACATGGGTAGGACATAGAATTTCTTATGTAGTCTTTCTTATTGTCATTGAAGAATAAAATTGTGTGAGCCTTAGTGGTTCACCAGTACTTAGGATATATGTTCTCTTTGATTTTCAGGCATCTCCTGAAAGCATGTTGTCTCCATCACATGGCTCAAATCCCATTGAAGATCCTTTAGAGGCAGAGACTCAGCACAAGTTTGAAATGTCAGGTAAATAATAAGGCAAGAAGATCTCTACTTTGTAACTATTTAACTTGAGATCATTTGTTTTAGCTTCTGAGGGATTGTGGGTTGTGGGCAAGCAGAGGAGTTAGAACAGGTCAGCATGGAAAGGAGAGCTGCAGGGAATTATGGTCCATAGGAAGGGGAAGGCTAAGGTGGAAAAATCTTCAGGTAGTCTTTCTCTCCTCTGCAGACTCATTGAAAGAAGAATCAGGGGCTATTTTTGGAAGCCAGATAAAGGTATTTCAGACTTTTCTTTATTCCTCTTGCCATGTGACTAGATTTCCTTATAGCACGACCTCTTTAAAGAATTTCAGTAAACTCACATCTTTATTCTTTGAGATGAGACTGGTTAAGGAGTTGTATGGCGTAAAGGAGTATTAGACAGTTAGGCATAGTGGGAGTACCATGGCAACATGTTATTCCTATCAGAAAGAGTTTGTGAGCATTATATAGACCTTTCTTTGTGTATAATGCACAAAGAAACTTTGATAAACCCAGAATGATTTGGAGTGAATTGGGATACTAGAGCCAGGGAGAAGAACATACTGGAAATCAGATTAATTACAACTATACTAAGAATCACCTAAAACTTCATTTTTAGGATTACTAAAGCAGTAGTAACAGACTTTTTAAGTAGTACGATATGAGCTTGCCCCATCAGATGAGACACAAAATAAAAACTATTTTTGATAACTTTGTACCCAGGGTCAGAGTTCCTCTCAAGAGCAAGGGGAAAGAAGGAACGCCTCTTAGCTTAGCCTTAAGTAAGTAGCTTTTTTTTTTTTTTTTTTTTCTTCTTTTTAAAAAGATCCTGGATTTTATTCTTTGCCCAGGTTCTAAATTACCTTACTTGGTCTATCAGTGTCTAAATAAAGTAGTAGTAAAAGTGATAGAGGGCTCAGTCAGGAAACGTAGTCTGAGGCCATTTCTAGAACTGATCTAACCCAAAAGACAGACATGTTTAATGATGCTTTGCTAGATAGCTTGGGTTACATTTGTTGACTGGAACACACTGTGTCTAAGGATGCCTCAGGTGAGGATGAGGAAGAAGATGGAGTCAGTGAAGCAGCCAGCCTAGAGGAGCCTAAGGAAGAAGATCAAGGGGAAGGCTATTTGTCAGAAATGGATAATGAACCTCCCGTGAGTGAAAGTGATGATGGCTTTAGCATCCACAATGCTACGCTGCAGTCCCACACGCTGGCTGACTCCATCCCCAGCAGCCCTGCTTCTTCACAGTTGTGAGTATCTGGAATTTTTTCTTTGCAGTCAGGCACTGAAAGTGAAAAGTGGGAGAGGGTTTTTTTTTTTCAGTTTTACTTTTTCTTCCTTATTTTCTTGGCCTGGAATAAATAGTTAAGAAGAAATAAAAGGACTTTTTTTTTTTTTTTTTGTAACTTATGCATGGTAAGATTCCTATATCCCTTTATTTTAGCTCTGTCTGTAGTGAGGATCAGGAAGCCATACAGGCACAGAAAATCTGGAAGAAAGCCATCATGCTTGTGTGGAGAGCTGCAGCTAATCATAGGTGAGTGAACTTTCCCATTACAGTAGAAACAATTTCTCTTATTCCTCCTCATTGTTGGTGACTAGGAAAAAAGTACGAGTAGGCTTATATGGGACTACTAGAGTTGACTCTTAAAACCTTTAGCTACTTAGAGCAAGTTCTCTCACCTGAGTCAATAATTACATCTTATTCTTTTTGGACAGGTATGCCAATGTCTTCCTGCAGCCTGTAACAGATGACATAGCACCTGGCTACCACAGCATTGTGCAGAGGTAAGCCATGGTCTATCCAACATGTTGACTTGATTGATTGGTAAGTTGTCCAGTTGTAGCTAACTTTTTCTTTAGATAGTGAGCTTAATGCAGATGTTTTTGATATGAGTAAGGGTGACTGACCAAGTGCTAAACTAGTATCTGGATAACCACTGATAATCTAAAAGAATTAACCCCCTGAGTACCCTTTTCAACATTTATTATACAGACTAGCTTTGTTTTGGGGTTAAATGTATTTTTTGAGGTGAGAGGTTGATATTTTGAGTCCTGGTAACTGGGACTGAAGGTATATAAAGGCACATGTGGTGATGATATGTTTGGAGATTAAAGTGAGTCTTCTTATCTGCACTGTCTTTATCCCTATTCCTCTTTTAGGCCTATGGATTTGTCAACTATTAAGAAAAACATTGAAAATGGACTGATCCGCAGCACAGCTGAGTTTCAGCGTGACATCATGCTGATGTTCCAGAATGCTGTGATGTATAATAGCTCAGATCATGATGTCTATCACATGGCAGTAGAGATGCAGCGAGATGTCTTGGAGCAGATCCAGGTACTTTGAGAATCCTTAGTGTTTTAGCAAGGATGAAATGAAAATGCTCAAGGGAAGGGTTCATATTGGTAATAGAAACGGATGCTGTGGCTTTTACTTAAAATAGCCATCAGGGACATGGGAGCATAAGATTTTGTTCTTCCTGAGTTCATTCTTTGGTTTGGTAAAAGAGTTGTGGGAGAGTATTCTGTTTCTTCTTGGGCAAATAACTTCAGTTTCCACGTATAAAAATGGACTAGCAGGGGTGTCTGACCTCTAACTTTATGAGACAGGAGAGAGAATCAGCATCAGCCCAAAGCTGATTCCTATGAAGTAGAGGTCAGACATACTTCCTCTCCAACCTTTTTACCAATTCTGACACTAACCATCCCTCCCATGACACTGTCCACTTCTCTGCTGGGTTTGATATTTCATTGTAGTGGCCACACAGAACTCATACTCATAATTACGGGGTTTATTAGGGAAGTAACAAATTACAGTTCAAGATCAGAAGCAACTCAGGATACAGTTCTTCAGTCAGGACAGCTACTCGGCCATGCCAACAGGCAGGCCTTTCCTTGACCCTCAGCCTCTCAGCCTCTCAAGCCTCTTTGCCTGCAGGCCATTGTCCTGCTCAGCCTGAAGGCACTCAGCTCTCTTGGTCGGTAGGTCTACTAGCCCAGCTCTGTCAAGTGTCCAGAGGCACCTATCTCACTGTCAGCAAGTCTCCTACCCAAAGGCAGTCTCAGCTCTCTGCTATATGAGCCAGGAAGCTCACTGCACCATCTGTTGTCAGTCTCCTGGTTCTGCTGCTGCCATTTCTCTGCTGCTGCATTTTGGCATCTCTCACCATCTCTGGTGTTACAGCTCTTTCTCTAGCTCTTGGGTCTAGGGTGGTTCCAGGGGTCCCAGGTCCAAAAGACACACTTTTCATTCCTGGCTCTTCTTTCTTGGTGGTAGTGAGGTTCCCCATTTCCACCTATGGGATGGCTCATTTTAAGCCTTATGGGATGGCAGAACTGACCAGTCCTTTCATTAGCATTCCATATATCTTATTTGCATTGTTCTACCCCCACAAGGATGCCATGCACTTCATTTGTAGTATTAGCAAGCTAGCCAGTCCCCTTGGTGGCCATAAACACCTTACTTGGGTAGTCCCACCCGATTGTTTGGTGAATGTATAAGACCGTGGTGAGAAAGGCCATGTAACAGCAATCCATTACACTGTACCTTATTTATAAAATGATCAATGTATGGTTCTTAAGTTATGTTAAGCACTGTACATTGTAGACACTCAACAAATAATTTCTTCTCCCTACCCTTTCATCACAAATCACCTACTATCCTATAGTTGCATTGCCGAGAAATTGAGCTTAAAGAAATGTTAGCCAGATAAATTGTTTAATGATCTTAAGTTCATCCTATTTTTATTCCTTTTACCATTTTTAGAAAGGGAGATTTTGATACTGTGTTATAGCCCCAAAAAGTTAGGGCCATTTGGGATATTGAGATTCTTTTAACATGTATAACAACTAGAGTTAGAACTGAACTTCCAAATAATAAATATTTAAGTGCTGTTTGCAGAAGGATACTATACAGAGTCATATTACAAAAGTTAAAGTGGCTTAATTCTTTCCTATTAGATCAACTCTCAAGGGCCAATCCTGTTTCTTCTCCCTATAGCAATTTCTGGCCACACAGTTGATTATGCAGACATCTGAATCTGGGATCAGTGCTAAAAGTCTTCGAGGGAGAGATTCTACCCGTAAACAGGATTCTTCAGAGAAGGTGAGGAGACCAGAAAAGAGCCTGTTGGCCAGTGTTCCAATGATGGAAGTCTGACACTTTCAAGAACCTGTGTTACTACTTGGTTTTGCCAGTTTTCTACATTCCAGTGGTATAGAAGCACATAGATCTTTAAGGTTTTGGTGATTTATGGTCAGAGAGATCTCTGAATAATTTGGAAGTTTAAATCCAGTAGGAACTTACAGGTGTTAGGTAGAGCATTCCCCAAATCCCTGGCATTCTCTTCTTAGCATGGAGGTTGTTTGCTCCCGTCTAAACGATGAAGAAACCTGCTATGACTCAAGGGTCCACTCACACAGGAGAAACTGTGAGCTGACTGAATGATTTATTAATTCCCCTGGGAGAATGCTCTCAAGGAGGGGGACATAGCTGGCAACAGTTGGGGGCCATCAGTTTCTGTTCCAAAGATAGAATGGCTAGATTGCTTTTGGATGTCTTTCCTCTTACTCTTGAGTTTTTAAATTTTTGTCTTTGTGTGTATGGTGCTTGTGTCTCTGTCCTGAGGTTTGGGGTGCTTGCGGCTGAGAGTTTCCGTGGAACCTGATCAGTGTTTGTTTGTCCTCTAACAGGACAGTGTCCCCATGGGCTCTCCTGCCTTCCTTCTCTCTCTCTTTGTAAGTATTGAATGGCTGCAAGGGGTGGTGTTGTCACAAAGATGCTCAGCTCCTGCTGGGGGTGGGTGCAGAGGGAAATCCAACATGCAGACTGTGGCAATGTCTTCAACGTCTGTTTATATTCAGGTCATGGACTAAGAAACTGTCTGTTCCTCTGCATTCCTGTTCTTCCTGCATGTGTGTGTGTGTGGGCTGGGTAGGGACTGTTTATGAGGTTACCAGGCTGAATTGAGGTATTCTTGGAATGAAGGATCTGGGATGCATCTGCCCCTCATTTCTTGACTCCACCTTTTGCCAATTCTTATCTTACAAATAGAAGATTGCTCAGAGCAACAACTGCTAAGCTTACTTTTTAAAAAATTTCTCATACTGGCAGATACATGGCTCATAATTTTTCTCTTCTAAATTAAATGGCAAGACTACTGCTTGACAACACAAACTCTCATTAAAATTTAAACTAAAGATTTCAGTAAAATAACCATGGCATACAATAGTGACTGATAGAATTAGTAGAGCTATTCTGAAGACTTATATTCTTTTTCTGTATGAATTAAATGACGCTCTGACTATGTTGCTCATTATGGGGGGATAAGGCATAATGGTAGTGAAGGGGGTATCAGGCTAGAAAACTACTGATCTTAAACCCATCAGGTAATCTCTTGGGGTCTTATTTTCATCTGTGTGATGGAGTAAATATGATGAGGTACCTGTCCAGCCTACCTCACAGGGATGTTGTGAGGATAAAATGAGGTAATGGATATGGAAATGGATTTTTTTGGGGGGAAAAGTGTTATTCCAAATGCAAGGTGATATTTTTATTCTTACTGTTGCTTCACAGGCAACTTGTGTTCTTTAACTCTAAAAATTTTAGAATCCTTGCATATTAGAAAGTAAAAATGACCTGGCCCAGCAAAAGTGTTCACTAGTTCATCTTCCCTATAGGCCTCTAGCCTGTACCACAGATAGAACACTATAATCTCTGTTCTTTCTTATTGGCCTGCAATAGTGACTCTGGATCCCCAAACAGTTGGCTGACTGTTGCAAGGCTGGTTAATAGGATCTAACTTTTATCTATTGAAGACAGCAAAGTATTGCACAAGATGAAGGAGCTGGGCTGCAGGGAGAGAGCAGCAGATGGAAAGAAGCCTTCTGATTGTCCTGATCTCATGGAAAACAACTGTCAGGAGGTGCTAGGGAACTAGTGCCAGGGTCAGTCTGCAGGAAAGGCCTTTCTTATAGGGACCAACAGCTGGACAGGTATGTTAGCCAAGAATCTCACTATCCACTGCTCTTTCTGACTCTCCCACCTTTCTTTTGTTCTTCCTATTCCTTTGCACATGATTTGGGGCCTGGGTGGGATAACTGATAGTCAGGTGGGATAACTAATAGCCATTCTGTGGGACCCCAGGTGAATTTCAGCAACCTCTGGTGGGCATGAGCAAGATACTCTGTTCAGCATTTCCTCTCACAAACTACCAGGTGCTCTTTCACTAGTCTTCAGAAAGAAAGAAATGTGCCCCCTCATACCCCTGGATTTTTCTGCTGATTCTCTCCCCTCCCCCAAGAAACCAAATCCCAGCATTCTTCATGTTGTACCTTCTCTCTTACCTCTTAACCAACTCACTGATGCTCCCTTTTTTTGTCTGCCTACATCTAGGATGGGGGAACCAGGGGGCGCCGCTGTGCCATTGAAGCAGATATGAAGATGAAAAAATGATACTTCCAAATACCTTCTTTGAGCTGAACCTCAATAGAAGTAAACAAGACAGAGCTTGGGCTCTTAGGCCCAGATCCAGAAGTGGAAATTACAGAAGAGGAGGCACCTGGGCCACGTGACATGAACTAGGAAAATCTCTCTGAGAGTTGGAGTAGCCCAATTGCCTGTTTTAGGGCAACAGTTATGGGCTGTGTTAATGTCCTTCTGTGTAGCTAGCAAATTGTGCCTAGTTTGTACTGTCTTGTGAAGTGTACAGACTTTTTAAAAACCTGTGAAGTGTGTGTATACAATAAACTCTGAAAAAAGAACTTTAGCCTTTGTTGTGCACTTTGTGTGCGTGTGTGTGAGAGAAAGAGAGAAAGGGGTGGGTAGATTTACTTTGTAGTTTCTTCTGTATAACTGTCTCATCACTTGTGGGAATGAGATTGTTAGAGAGGCAGTGTCTTATAATATGAACTGTCATACTACAGCTGATGGAAAGTAAGTAACCAAAATTTAAATTGTAATTAATGTTTAAAAGTATTACATTGTGCAGTAAAGACTATCCTCTGCAGCATTTGTGTTTGGGTAAATACTGTTCAGATTTCAGATTTCTATTCATGCTTAAAGAAGACTAGAGTATGGGTATTGGCAGTAATGACTTATTTCAGAAACATTTAATACTACATTTGCAGATGGTAGTTTCTGGATAGTATATAACCATTTCCTTCCCATCTCTATGTGTAGGACCCTTATGTAATTTAGAGTTCTTTGCATATTTAGCTATTTGAATGCTAAGCTTAGTTTAAATTATCAAATTTATCATCTGGTGTTCTAGTCTATTTTCTGTTAACTTGTTAGGAAAATGAACTAGTTGTGAGAGTTTTATTATAAAAACAGATTGATATTATATCTTCTGTTAACTCAGTGAAATGGACTAGTTAGGAGACTTGCTATAAAAACATCGAGATTAATAAGATACTGTCCTATACTTTGAACCTTCTTGAGAAAGAAAGGTTTAAAAATGATAGAAATTACAGTTTTGTTTTGTTTTTTTACTTTAAATAGAATGATTTATAAACCTTCTTAGGATGCTAAGGGAGTAGGAGATACTATCTTTGTGAGGTAATAGGAAGGAGTTCAATCAGTCCAGGAGTTACAGCTTGGGAAATGAAATAACTAGGTAATATTCTCGAACATGTATATGATGAAAGCACTGAAGGGCTAAAATTTGAAAACATTTGTAGAAGAGGTAGACATTAAGGGATAGGTTTTGAGTTGATAAAGCAGCCATCTGGGTTTGAAAGTTCTATGGTTGGGACAGTAAGAAGATATATGTAGTTAGAACACAAGGGTCATAGTAAGGAATAGTGAGGTAACAGGTCAAGGGGACTAAACAGGGCAGTAATGAGAATTTTTTTATTTAATATGTATATTTAAGGATGATAGCTATTCCAAGACTTTTTAAAAACATTGAATAGGGTGACTGTTTCTTGAGAGCAGATTGGACTAAAGATAGAGAAACCAACCAGAAGGCTTTAGCATTTGTTCAGGAACAAATGATGAGCAATGAGAAAAATTATCTTGTAAAGAATTGTTAAGAGAACTTGCTTACTGAGTACAAGAAAAAGCATCAAAATAAGATTCTGTGAGTTCTGTAGATTAAGAAATATGGGAATGAGGAAATATAGAAAAATAAACTAGAAATATTCTGAAGATAAGTAATTTTAGTTTTGGAAATGTTGAGTTGAAGCAAGTGATGGAATATCTAAAAGGTACTGACCTTTGAATACATATATGAGACCAGAATGCATATAAAGGGTAAAGGTGGAGAAATTTGGAAATACGGCTTATATGGCAGAGTAGAACTACTCCACAGTGTTTTCAAAGCTATGGACCTTTTAGAAGCATATCGCCAAGACTTTCTTTGGAGGCACCTCAGAGTCGGTTCAAACCACCAACCTTTGAATGTTTAGCTGCCACACCACCCAGGAGTCCTAGTAGAAGGATAAGGGGATAGTAGAAAACTAGGATAGTAGAGTGTTATGAAAGCAAGGGAAATACCTTTTAAAAACTTGATGTTACTGTTTTCCTTTCGGAGAAATGACAGTTGGATTTGACTAGAAGGACAGCAAAGATAAAATGTGTTTTGAGGAGTTGATGCTTGATAGGTGAAAAATGTGTATACATTGAGACAAATAAATACTTGTCCCCTCAAGTTTATTGCCTAGAGTTGAATTTAAGGGACACTTTGGGGAAAGGAATTCTGTTAAGCTACATACACTCCAAGGCACAGTGCCTAAGGCATTTGACTACTAACCAGAAGGTTGGCAGTTCAAACCCACCAGCTACTCCACGGAGGGAAGGTTGGGGAATCTACTACCACTAAGATTTACTGTCTCAGAAATCAAGATGGTTGGTATGAGTCAGAACTGACTTGATGGCAGTGTTTTTTTTTTTTTTTTCCCCCACTTATACTCTATTTCCCTTCTTTTGGGGTGACTATAAGGAAATACAAGTAAAAATATTTTATTATTGGGTAATATCTTTCTTACACTATTAGACATGAGCCTGCTGCTTCATTCCCAATGTCAGGTTATTTAGTCATCTTGATACTCCTTTAACTAGCCTTTTTTCTTCCTAATGATTAGTAGAAATTGTGGTCCCTTATCTTTCTACTAGGACTTCTGGGTGGTGTGGCAGTTAAACGTTCAAAGGTTGGTGGTTTGAACCGACTCTGAGGTGCCTCCAAAGAAAGTCCTGGCGATATGCTTCCAAAAGGTCATAGCTTTGAAAACCCTGTGGAGCAGTTCTGGTCTGCCATACACAGGGTTGCCATGAGTCACATTTGACTCAATGGCACCTGGGTTGGCTTGGTTTTATTCTTCTATTGAACTTGAAAGATAGAGATACTTTAGGAACAATGAGTTGAGTTAATGCTTTTTATTTTCTATGTATTTACAGATGGGTCATGAGTGGGTTTGGTTGAATTCTGAACAAGATTATCCCAGTGACTCTGAGTTGAGCAACGACTGCAGGTCCCTCTTCAGTTCATGGGACTCCAGTTTGGATCTGGATGTGGGCAGCTGGAGGGAAACTGAGGAGCCAGGGGCTGAGGAACTAGAGGAAAGCAGCCCGGGCAGAGAACCTAGTGAGCCTCTTGGGGATGGAAGCAGTGAGGAATCTCAGGAAGAGGCAGAGCAAGTCAGCTGCCAGAACCTCCTTCACTTTCTTTCTGAGGTAATGATGAGCTGTTATTTCCAAAAGTTAGAAAAGCCTCAACTGTTTAAGAATGCTTACTCTTCCATGTTTGTACCATTCTTAATTCTATCCACTGAATATAAATTCTACCATGGCAAAGACTAAGTTCTTTAGTATATCCCCAGCACTTGGTATTGGCATAGCATATATGCTGAATATGTACTTTTTTGACTGAGTGTTCTACTACCCCAGTCTTTAGGGACCTGAGGAATAGGAAGTGGAATTTCTGTTTGCAGGACTACCATTTTGAGTATCCTTACAATTCATTCTTTCAGAGTCATGAGAGGTTACACTTGCTCAAACTCTCCTTGAAGCTTATAATGTTTCTGTGTCCTTATTACCCTGGTTTACGGTTGAGGACCAGAAATAAATAGAATTGGACAGAGTTTATGCTAGAACTGAGCACGTTCAGGAGAATTTAGATCAAGATTGAGATTGATGAGGACAGTGAAATCTGTGAAAGCCATAACATGTTGGGACTGCCTTGCTTTTCCAGGTCTCAAGTTTTCCACTTTGACAAGGTACAGTCTTGCCACTTTTCTATCATTCTCTGTTAGTGGAGAATATTTGAGTTTTCCTTCTCTGATTTCCACCTTACACAGGTTCTGGGTTTCATACTGTATACAGTTCATATGTTGCCAGTTCTCTCTGCAGCATTTGTAGCAGATACTATTTTTCAACAGTTTTTTAGACAACCACTCCCAATTGATCAGAACTGACATTTCAGATGAAAAATTTGAACATAATGCACCTTGAAGAGGCAAGAACAATATCATCTTGCTGCTCACTGTTAAGTCTTCAGCAACTAGCCTAGTGCCTTGTATATATAGCACGTTTGATGAATTTTAAATGAATGATTCATTAAACCTATTTTGCCATCTCAGACTCAGTCACAGTGGCATTGTTGATATGTGGAGGATGATTTCCATGGGTATTCCTATGCATCTAATAATAAGTTGTGATTGCAGGTAGCTTATTTAATGGAGCCATTGTGCATCAGTACCAAAGAATCAAGTGAGGGCTGCTCCTCTTCATCTGGTATCAGGCAATTAAAAGGAAAGGAAGTTGAAGCTATTGAAGGAAAAGGAGAGCCCTGCAGAGAGACTGAAGAGCTTTCAGCCAAGGTAGACCCCTTGGTAGCTGAGAAGCCAGTGGGAGAAAATGGAAAAGAAGACGTAGCCCCAGTTCTCTCAGATATTTGTGCAGTTCAGAGACCATCCACAGAGAATGAAGAGGTAAATAAATAACATAAACTACCTGTCTGGTTGGGTCCTCAGTACAGGAAGGCAGAAGCAGAGTGGTTGGTTAGAGCATAGGATAACTTCAGAAAGTTAAACTAGCTGGGTTCATATCCTGATGTTAGTACCAGTTAGCCATGTGACCTTAGGCATGTTAGTGAACAGTTTAGAATATAATTTTTCTCCTTTGAAGTGGGATAATAGTGCTCTACCTTATAAATTTTCTGTAAAGTTTAAATGAGATAAATCATGTAAAGAAAGCACTTGGAACAGTACTGGCCCATAGTAAACAATCAGGAAATTTTAGAACACCTTATCATTATTAATTACTGTTTGACCAGCTAGGCCAGTTAATTCCAGAAGCACAGATGAAAATGATGGTTTTTAAAAATTATAGCATCCATCTAGAATTGAATAAATAATGCTTTTTAAAATTTTTCCTTGAGATAGAGATTGAAAGTTCTCCAGCAAGAGTGTTAGCAAGAATTAGTTGACTTCAGTCTAGTTAAGTCTGCTTTCTTTTATTTCGTTTACAACTTTACATAATTTGTAGTAAATCTCTTTTTGAACTTAATGGTGTTTCCTTCTTGCATTTCTGGGGAGGTTCAGCAAGAATCCAAAGAGGAAGACCAACGTGAAGGGTATGTGTTAGAGGTGGAAGACCAGCCCCCCTCAGGTGAGTGTGACGATGGCTTCAGCATTCAGGAGACACCCTTGGTGGATATCCTTTTCAGCCATGCCACCTCTTCAAAGCTGTAAGTACAGATTTTTGTCCAAGGTTGTTAAGATTCATACTTTTACTTTTGTTTATGCCTAATTGATTTTGTCACCATGAACATGGATTACTTTTTTAAAGAAGACTTTTTATTGTGATTTGGGTGAAAGTTTACTGAGCAAATCAGTTTTCCACTCAACAATTCATGTATACTTTGTTTCATGTCACTGATGCAGTCTTCTCAATGTAGTGTCATCATTCCTCCTATTTCTTTCCTGTCCTGTTTCTTGTTTCCATTCCTCCTTCTCTCCTGACCCTTTCTGCTTTCTGAACTTTGCCTTTGGGCAGATGCTGCCCTTTTGACTTTGAATGGTTGATTATTCTAAGAAGTGCAGGCCTTCTTAGTGTTATTGATCACCTTGTAGACTTGTCTGTTTGGCTGAAAAGTGAGCCATAGGAGAGAGTTTAATTCCAGGTTTGAAGAGTGACTAAGGGCTACAGTCTAGGAGGTTTCACCAGTCATTATTCAACCAGTAAGCCTGGTCTTTTTTTGTTGTTGTTTATTATTGTTTTATTATTTTTCTCCCACTCTATCCCGGACCTTCTAACGTGATCCCTTCAGAGCAGCTGATAGTGGTAGCTGGGCACCATATAGTTCTTTTTGTCTCAGGATTGTAGAGGCTGAGGTTCATGTGGTCCTTTAGTCCTTTGGACTAATTGTTGCCACGTATCTTTGATTTTCTTCACTCCTCTTTCCTCTGGACAGGGAGAGATAAATAGTTGTACCTTAGATGGCCACTCATGAGCTTTTAAAACCCCAGTTGCTACTTGCCAAAGTAGGATGTGCAACATTCTCTGTAAACTTTATTGTGCCAATTGATCTTGATATGTCCCCTGAGACTATAGCATGAATTACTTTTATAAATTAACAAAAGGGAACTCAGAATTGAAAAATACTAAAAATAGAATTCAGTGTAATTTTAACATATAAATAGAAGTCTGTGTGTGCTCCTCTTATGAAACAGGTCCATTTCATCAACATTAAGACTCTCTTTCCTAAATATCCCTTTACTCTAATTACTACCTTCATTTATTCAGGAATCATTGCTTAATCAGTTTGTACCTCAAGTCTAATGTTATACAAACTATACCTCTTGTAAAATATACTAAAATAGCTCCTAATAACTTGAAATTAAAAGTTATTTTGAAGATACAGTCTCTCATTTGTTTTCACAAATCTTGTTGTTGTTGTTAACTGCCGTCGAGTCGTTTCC